TATCGGTTAAATTTAAACTAACTAGATTTTTAGTTAAATTTCACTCAGGCTTAAAGTAAGAGAATTATTTTCTGACCTGGTTTTGATAAAAGGAATTTATCTTCTTTCTTATTATATCTTGTTCACTACTGTCCAGACGGTAAGAATGAAATTCACTACTTTTTTTTTATTCCATAATTCACTCTTAGCAAATCCTTTATCGATATTGTTGACATCTACCTGACTCGCCTTTATCTTGTCCCTTACCTGTGAATAAATTATTGATTGTTTGATTTACTGAGGCGTCAAGACGCTATACTTTGAAACACACCATACATTCTTCATTAACCAAAGCAGCTACAGTGTCACTCTTTGCAAGTGTATCGATTTTATTGATATTCATTCGTTAACCGTATTTTATAACTTAGCCAGATAATATTTAATAACAACACGATAAAAAGAAATATTGGTTTCCGCAAGAGCGGTCATACAAAACTGCGTAAATAGAAACCATTCTCGTCTGTCAACCTTGTACCGATGGAGCGTTACTTTATAGTTTTTGGTCCAATTCCTCCGACGGTACATCTCAGTTACGCCGCTTATTTTCTAATAATTATCATTTCTATTACTGGCAAGTTTTCTATCGATTTTATCGAAGATGCAAGTTGTTATTTTTGTCTTTTTACTGTGGAAGGGCCAATTAAAATAAAAGGCTGTTTTATATAGATTGCATGTCAAAAATTGTAGACCCGTAGACCCATTTACCAACACCCTGAGTCGGGTTGATGATTGCAAACAACACAACACTTAGAAATTAATTTTACCATAGAAAAAGGTGATAAATCATTTTTTGCCAGAATGTTGGTAAGTTTATGTAGGCTATAATTCTTGTAGATTTTTATTAAATTGTTTTTGGTTTGGATATTTATATTCCCTAGGAGGCATAATATTAAATGCCAGGCTTGAAGAGTATATTTTTTAGAAAATAAGTCATTAAATTTAGGAGTTTGCAGATGACTTTTTTTACTTGTATTGTGTGTGACTATGGAATTAAAAAAAAAAATTAATTGTGATTGTGGGTATAGATAAATGGTTTCTAATGAAGCCCGTATAACGTTAAGAGCTTTTTTGACCCAAAAGTGTCTTTTGCGTAATTGCACTGATAATAGGTTAAAATCGAATTCTTATTTTTCGAATAATAAATATTCGATCAACTTCAGTTGTTTCGTCCCATGACTTAACGTTGCAAACGATTCCCGAGTATGCATTTGCATAATATAGGTTCATAAGAACTTTGTTTCTTAGAAGATGTTCTTCATGATCAATTTGATCCCTCCAACACAATCTCTCGCCCAAAAAGGTACCCAAGATCCCGACTGTCAGATATTTTCATTGTTATTCCGTTAAAGGTTAGATTATTATTATTATTATTTTTATTTGCCCAATAAATTCTATTACCGATGTTTCTACATGGTTGACAATGAGTTATATTTGTTAACTTGAAATTTAACTTTTCAATTGATTTACCTAATATCACAGTTGTCAAGTCATCCCAGCATAAAAAAACTTTACAGTCTTTTAGTATATTTGTTGAGTCCTTTGCATATAAAATGAAGATGAGAGGACCAAGAATTTCTCGGTGAGAAGTAGATAACTCTACACTAAATGTATTGTTTCGGATAACTGATTCCAATGTTGGTGAAAGATAAAAACGTGATTGGCGGATAAGATTATGTGTTTACAGATTTATCTGGATTCGCGGCTGCTTCGATGCTTGCCTGGAACATATGTTTCTTGTAACGGTCAAATTTATAAACAAATATCAGGACATCTTCCATCTCAAAACCAAAATTGTGGAAACACTAGACATTTTTGTAGCTATTTAAACGCTATACACCCTAATATATTTTTTACCAATGAACTGATAATAATCTCCCATTCTTAAATACTCTTATTAATAGAAAATCAGTCCTAACATTGAGTCGTTCTGTTTACAGAATACCTACGCACGCAGACCGATACTTAATAAACCATCGGTTATCAACTCTCTTGTTACTTTAAAAAAATCGATGAAATCGATTCTTTTCGAAACTATACGCGCTCCTCACTACACTCGAGATCTCGGAAACGGTAGGTCCTAGAGAACCGCCTTTGGTACAGAAATGATCAGGGTCGAAAAAAAATTTTGTTTTCATCTGTCGGTTCTCCGTCCTACGTTCTCTGTTCGATGGTTTTTCAAATTTTGCTTCTTTTTAACCGCCCACGGGGTGCATAGGACGTGTAAAAATGGCTGCATTCAAGCTTCGGCACCCATAATTTTTTTTCGATTTTCGAGTGTTTTTTGGACGTTGCTATGAAACACGATAAGTTGGCAGGCAAATAGCGTTTGGTTCCCTAACGGAACTTGTTGAAATTGGGGGGCTGAGGGGTCGGGAAGAATTTAAAAAAAAAATAAAAAATCGCGTTTGCAAGGGTCTAAGAAAAAATCATTAATAAAAACCGTTAAAGTAACTAAAAAAATTCTTGAACGAGAAGACGCACAAGACTTGGCTCCATAAACTTTTATTCTTGATAATTTTTTAAGAATGTACAGAGTGCGCCGTGCAAAAAAACTGAAAAATGAGTCAGCTAAAACTTTTGTATTTAAGATTTTTACCTATTGTACAGGGTGTTTGCGATATTCCGTGCAATATGAGAAATGCGTTAAGTGTACTAAATTTGCAGATATCGAACTTCAAATTTAGCAAAAGTAAAAGTCCTCACCCACATTTAAAAAGTAGAAATTGGTGGCAATCAAATTTTACCAAAAAAAAAATATTTTTTTTTCCAAAACTAGTCATCCGATCGGCAAAGTTATTTTACCAGCAATAGCGGAAATTATAGTGCCATAACATTTATTTCAGGCATTTTTTGATTTATATACAGGGTTTTCCAATTATAGACAAAAACCTAAAAAGCTAGAAAATTGTTCTTTTCCAGAGTTTTCAAATATGTACAGGGTGTGTTGATTATGGGTAAAAATTCTAAAAAACCCTGAAAATTTCCGTTTTCGTTTATACAAGTGTTAGTCGTAAATGGAAAACTACAAAACATGGTATAATTTGGTTTAAACACTGTCGTAAACTGTATCGAGATAGTTTCAGGTTTCGTCTATCATACAGGGTGCGCGAGATTCTTCGAATAATATCATTGGAAATTGTTATTACTTACGTATTTTTTTATATCTATCAAAGTTTGTAATGACTTTGAACTTTTGCGATACTAGGAAGACGCTATATACAGGGTGTATGAACAATATATTTACATCGATTTCGCGAAAGTTTCATAGCGGTCCGCAGTAGCACGATAGAAAAACAATGCGTTCCTCTAGCACAAGAAACCGCGAAACGCCTTCTTTTTGAAATAAAAAGCTGCTTCTCGCTAAGCGCTACGAACTTGCCCCGCCCAGCGACGATTTTTCGAAAGCAATCTTGTTTACAAGGCTATAAAACTACCTAAACCTGAGTCAATGAACCCTCTTTAGTAATTTCCGCTTTAAATATATTTAGCGTTCTACCACAAAATACATGCCACCACGGCCTTTCAAAGAAAATGAGACCGAAAGCATCCCCACACTTACCACTGCGGTCCTTCCTTATATAATAAATAAATATATATATATATATATATATATATATATATATATATATATATATATATATATATATATATATATATATATGTATATGTATATATATATATATATATATATATATATATATATATATATATATATATATATATATATATATATATATATATATATATATATATATATATATATATATATTCTTTATATTTTGTTTTTTCTTAGACCTTCTCTATATTTATGTTTAGCTTTTGGTTCTTGGGTTATAGGTCTTTGTATTAAAAGCGATTAAAATTTTTTGTCCATATATTGACGTTTCGGTCTTCTATGACCTTCTTCAGAAAGGGGTACAGTCAAAAAGAGACAAACACAAATCTTAAAATTGAAGAGGTAGCATCATATGGAAGTTTATACTTTAAAAGCGTTTGGTTTTGTCATAGTGCCCTTGATAAAAGATAAAAGTCCAACAAAAAATGATTTGTATACGGCACTCACACACATAATACACACAAATTTAACGAAACAGTTAAAATATATATAAGAGTTTAAAAAAAATAATAATAATAATACCGATACGCGAGGTTTGCTCGCGTCGACGTTACTCGCTTTTAATACAAAGACCTATAACCGAAGAACCAAAAGCTAAACATATATATATATATATATATATATATATATATATATATATATATATATATATATATATATATATATATATATATATATATATATATATATATATATATATATATATATATATATATATATATATATATATATATATTAAAACCACATTTACTACTTATCCAAAAATCTCTCAACATCTTCGATCCGTTAAAGAATAAATTCTGTTTGATATACCAGAAGCTTTTACATTGGAAAAACAGGACGAAAAATATCAATTAGGCTAAAAGAACATGACTTTAGCCTACCACAAATAAACTCATCAGCAGTTGTCGAATACAATCATTCTTGCCTGTACTCAATTCTTTTCCAAAAAAAAAAAATCTGGAAATTCTTAGAAAATCCACAGTAGTTTCTAAACGATCAAATAGTCTTAACCGCGACTCACGTCTTTATGTTTCACCAATATGGGAATTAGTCATCTAAGACGCAGGAGGAATCCAGAAGATTTGTAAATAGTTTTGGTGAGGGTTTGCAGGCCTAGAACAGAGCCTGTCGATACAATTTAAAAAATATTTATTAAGATAAATTTTTAATCAGTATGAGCATCCAGCCGTTTGTTTATTGACCTACACTGGAAAAGAGGTTATGATTATTTTATAATCTTCCTTCTAATTGCGGGCTGGTGGAACTATACTTGCTTATACGAATTCGTCGTGAAATTTTGGTGTTTCTCATTTACATTTTTTCTTGTTTATTGTTCTTTCAGAAAATGTTGTTTATGGAGCAGATCAGGAGAAAGTGCGGGCCGATTATGGCGATCGTCTGGTACATCATTCTGACTGTTTTCAACATAAATTCAACAGAGTCGGCTCGAAGACCGCAGATAAACGGCACATGGATGTGAGTATATATAAATTATTTTTTTAATTCATCACACAGGGCGACAACATTTTTCTACTACTTCCTCACTAACTAATTTTGGATTTTTGAAAAAATCTTAAATTGATGTTTTAGAATACTCAAAATTCAAAAATTATTCCAATAAAAGTTATATAGTGAACGACTAAAATATAGATCAATTTCATTTAAAAATCAGGTATTGTACTTTGAAGGAAAATGGTCGCACACGTCCATCATAACTTTTTTTTGCGCAGTAAATAAAAAATATGGTCCTTTTTTTTATGAAACACCTTTTTTTAAGCAGGTGCCAGTGAGATTCTCAAATTGTTACAATTATATTTCTGTCAGTAAAGTTAATATGGCGCATTTAACTGAAATTCTGAAAATTACTTTTTTCTGGATATTTTCATTAATTTACCTTATTAGGAATTGCAAATTAAGTCATTTTGAAGAAATTATAAATCATATAAGATTTGGTGGAAAAACTAAGGTCCAATAGTTTTGTTACTGGAAATCCCTTCCAAAACATTTAGTTTTTGTGGATATTGTGTATGATTTTCTCCTAACCATCCTATAAGTTTTTATTTACCCTACCATTTAAACAAAACGTAACTTCTTAACTAAACAATATCTAACGATTGAAAAATGGATTTACGATTTAAATTAAAATACAGTTTATAGCAATAAAATATCACAAGAATGAAAATTTTGGTGTGAAAACGTGGTGTAATTATGTCTTTATAGCCTATACCATAATCCAACTTCCTTATCAAGTTGGTGGAGCTGATATTGTAATTGATAATGATAAAGGGAGAAGGTAACTCGGTTATACGGAAACCAAAAAAAAAATGAACAGTTTAAGGAGAAAACGTATTTAAAAACTGCTAAACATTTATTTATTTATTTCATTTGCTTCTGCGTCCAGTAACCCTATGCAAATGGAGCATCCAGGTCAGTCCAGTGGTTTGCGGCATCTGGATCTAATCGTAAACCATTTTGTATGAAAAGGAAATTACAAAAAATATTCCAAATACGACAATGGAAAAAATGCTTTATTTTTTTGAAAAACCACCGAAATTGTATCTTAAGCCGTTCTTTAAGTACAACAAATAATCCAAAAATACAAATTCCAACATTATTATTATTATTCTACTATTTTTCAGTCTCAGCATTGACATGAATTACATATCTTTTTTATTTATTTCGTAGAGATACAAGATATAAGATATTTATTCACAAAGCCCAGTACAAATAAATAACAAATTACAAGTCATGTATATCCTAAAACCATGTACATGTTAACTTTATAAAATGTATAAGACGAGTATTACAAGGAAATGTATAACGACCAACACTTTGGCATTAAAAAGAAACACATTCATTTTGAAAAGAAAACATAGATAATTTAAATGCTCTCAAATACATTTCAAATTCGTTCATGCTGCAGAAAGCATTAACTGATAGGAGCCTCTAGACGTGTTTGTCATATTGATTTGTTGATATATTTTTTATCCTTGGAGGAAGCAAATTATAATAATATGGTCAGTGTGTTTCTTATGTGAATCTTTATTCTTTTGTGTGATCAAGAGTATTTTAAATAAGGATATGCTTGGTACTGTTAATATTTATAGGAGTTTAAAAATCAACTTAAATAGCCTCTTTTGCTGTACAAACTTCCTTTCAGAATCATTAGCTTGTCCCCATTTTACAATGTTTTATGAAACAGAAGAGTACGCTGACGCGTAGCAAAAAGCAAATCGTTAATATCGCATAATGTTGTTTAGCTTACTGCTGACCCCACCTCACCTCCTCCTCAAGTCACTTCAAGTCATTATAAGAACCAAGAAACCTCCTGGTCTGATTTATATCTAATGGCAACCCAGCAGAACTTAACGATAAGTCTGGTAAAAAAGGTTTGATATACTGGTCAGTAAACCACAACTGTCTTCTCCACGTTTACAATCAAATGGTTTTGTTTACAAATTTCATTAAACTGTGTAATGATAAGAGAGACACCATCCACCAAGCTTTTCGCATTGCTTCCAGGGACAAAAAGTTTCATTTACTTTTTACATTATTGCATTTATTTTTCTTTGAGTCATATATGATAAGATCCATTCATTAAGAGGCCCTCATTCTAGCTTCTTTGCCATTATGTTCCAGTTTAAGGAGTTAAATGAGCCAGATATATCGAAAAATTTGTCCCTGTTTCAGTGGAGCGAACAGAACGAAAACCATGTTCCACATTTGAGATTGTATCTTCTTGGTCTCAGAAATGTTAAGATTCTTCCTTCGTCTCTTATACTCGATTGTATGTGCATGGCTATTTAAAAATTTTAGCTACAAACTTTGAGCATCGATATTTTGGATTATTACAAAATGGAGTGCGTGGGATCCAGTTACCACAGACTTAAGCCCCTATTAAGCCCTTCTTCCAAGTAAAATAATTACCAATATTCTTATCATTAATAAATGTTCTTTCACAGTTTTTATGTGAAATGTACCATTGCACAGAAAGGTAACACATTGTTTTGAATATACCAAGTGTCAATAAAATTGCTACCCAAGCGATAATAATGAATCAAATTGAAATTTAGAGATATTATATAAATAAAAGTATAGTTACGTTTTGGCATATCAAACAATTGAATAGCACTTCTTTTGTTTTCCATTTTTTTATTTTACTTTTAAATTCCAGTCGGAAAGGTTCTTTTTTTTCACTAGTTATTTTAGTAAAGCAATGGTCAGATAGAGTATTAAAAAAATGGTAAAAGCAAAAAAAAAGTACACTGAAAATTGAACTTTGTAGTAACAGCTTCCAATGGAAAACGCCTAAAAGTCCCATTAATATTATTCTGTGTTCAATTTAGAATAGTTTTTATAATAAAGAGTTTTTATGTATCTCCAATTTACCGTTTGATATGTTTACTTTCAACAAGATGGCGTATCCGCTCATAATTCCAGGATATTACCCAGTTATCTAGATGAAAACCTAAAATTGTTTAATACCTACATAAGTGTAACTGGAAATGGTTTTATCTTCTTTCTTGTTACTCTCACTACATGGTGGGGGTAAAAAGCTTTCGAACAAGTGGCACCTCTAGGTCTACTTTTGGAGCAGCATCCTATAGTACCATTCCTACCGAGCCTGCATGTAGAGTTTCAGCCTAATCGCTACGTTATTTCACATTTGAGACCACATTGCACAAGACGCTTTTGTCGTTTTCGTGAAAATGGAAAAATTGAAAAAATGTGCTGTCATCAAATACTTCTCTTAAGCAGTGGGTTTCTAAATTTGACAACATCAAAAATGATTGAGAAAATCCATCAAGTAGTGCTTGAAGACTGTAGAGTGAAAGTGCATGAGATTGCTGAGACCTGTAGGATGTCAATTGAATGTGTACGAAATATTTTGCTCAACCATTTGAGCATGGAATAGCTGTGTGCGTGGTAGGTGTCGTGTTTGCTAACGCTCGACCAAAAACTCTTGATTCGAAAAAATATTTCTACCAACAACAACTACACTCCTGAAAGTAAGAAACGGTCAAAATGATGGGTTGCAAAAGGCTAAAACAATTTTGTCGGCAAGCAAGGTTATGGCTACTGTTTTTGGGATGCTAGAGGAATTATATACACTGATTACTTTGTTAAGAGTAAGACTATCACTAGTCAATACTCCCCAGAGTTATTACAACGTTTAAACAACCTTATTTGGTGAAGAAAAACATTTTGTTTCATCACGATAACGCACGAATTGAAGTTTGAATTGATGCCGCAACCTCCCTACTCTCCAGATTTAGCCCACAGCCAGTATTACCTGTTTCCTAACCACAAAAATAGCGTGGCGGTAAGAGATTTAAGAGCAACGAAGAAATTTTCGAAGCTGTGAATCAGTATTTTGAGGAGCTCGACGAATCTACGTTTAAAACTGGTATAATCAAATTAGAACACCGTTATGAGAGATGTAGCGGTGTTGATGGAGATTATGTGGAAAAATAAAGCAAAAAAAAATTAAAAACATCGTTTTTCTTGGTCGGATCGGAAACTTTTAACACCGCCCTCGCATACTTACATGTATTTTTGTATATATTTGAATTTAATTTGACTTTTAAATTAAAATATCTCAAAAACTATTGGAGATACATAAAAACGGTTTATTAAAAAAATGATTCCAAATTAAGCATAGATTAATAAAAATGGCTTTTAGGGGGAGTTTTCATTGGAAGTGTTTGCGGAAAATCACTACAAAGTTCTTTTTTTCACTTTTATCAAATCAAATTCAGTTGTATGAAAAATACTTTCTCTACTTTTTGGTTAAAATATGTTTTTTTTTAATTTAAATTTATTGAAGAAACATAACATCTGGACATTTGTGAAGGCCGTTATCTCCAAAACTATAAAAGATGTAGAAAAAGATAAATAAGAACCGGAAGTCCTATTTAATTGTTTCATATGTCCAAATGTAGCCTTACTTTATTTATGACATCTCCTGTAAGACTCTTATTTTTTTAAGCTAGCCCATAAAATTTTTTTTGTATGTACAACAAAATAAGCAACCACTTGCGAGCCAGATGTTTTCTTATTTAACATAGTTTTGGGGTGGAGTAATATTTTAAAATAATAATAATCTATAGGTACTCAGGTTATTTTTTTCTTAGTTTCAGATGCGAACCGTGTCACTTGGCTGACGCACTGATCATCTTTCTTTTTGATCAAGATAGTGAATAATTATTCCTTAAGAAATAAATAAACATTTATATTTCTTACCTTTCAATTTCAGGGTCGTGAAAAAGAAAAGCATTAATTAATTAAATTTGAAATTTATTACTTAGGTAAGATAATACACAGGTTAGCTCACTAACAAACAAACAAATTAATAAAGAAAAAAAAAGTGTAAATGGAGCAAAAAAGTATATAAATCTCTACCTGGTGGTAGGTGTGAGTGTGTCAAATCTCACCTTCAAGTTTTGGCGGTGCAAGAGAATGTAAGGCAATAAATT